AAGGTGATGTGTGTGGATTTAATTATCTATATAAATCATTTTCTAAGCTTCTAGACTTCCTCATTGATCGTGACCTACCTCGAGGTACTTGTTCTCATGGTCATTTCCTAGACCTTGCCAATGACTAAAATCCCTTTATCATCTCAATTTCAAGCATCCTGGCCACCATTTTCTCCCAAACCACTCCTTCTTCAGCATCAGCAATCCTTCAATTCCTGTAACCTACAGTCTTATTTTCACTGCCTGCAGTCAGCCAAGTTTTCACTGGTCTTCAGCGGGCCCATCATTGTTATTGAACTGTGCAAACATCCTCAATTCAGTTGGCTTCTTCTAGCTTCTTCATCCTTCCCTGGTAAAATTCCAATCATAGTTAAATCTAGTTCTCTTATTCATGTCTGCTTCTGGGCAGTTAAATGTAGCTGGGGAAAAACTGCCATGCTAACTGGTCTCACTTTAAATTCTTAATCACAAACCTCAGTAGGATAGAATTTTTTTTTTGGTGGTCCTGGGATTTGAACTCAGAGCTTCTTGCTTGCAAAGCAGCAGGTGCTCTACTGTTTGAGGCATATCTCCAGTCCATTTTACTGTGGTTATTTTGGAGATGGGGTTTTGTGAACTATTTACCCTGACTGGCCTCAAACCTCAGTCCTCTTAAGTAGCTAGGATTGTAGTCGTAAGCCACCAGCATTTGGCCTCAGTAGGATTCTTTGTACTCCTAGCAGTCTTGGTACATTTTCCTGGTCTATTTAGTGTCTTATTCCTTCTTCTCTTTCTTTAAACCACCCACACTTATTTCCCTACCTTTTACTCTTAGAAAGTAGAAGTAATCAGAAGAGAACTTTTATAAGCTCTTACTTACTACCATATACTCTTGATTGGTTCCCCCTAGTTTTTGAAGTTTACATGTTCTACTGGATCAGTAAATTCCATTCCCCCTCAGTTATTCCTAACATGACCAAACCTGAACTTTTGATCATCCCACTCCAATCTGCACTTCCTGCAGTCTTTTTCATTTCATTGACTGACACATCATTCTTTCTCGGTGCTCAGGCAAAAACCTTCAGTGTTACCTTTGACTCCTTCTCCTCTTAGCCCATACACCCAGTCTGATAGCATGTCCAGTTTGGAAATCATTATAAACTTCTGCATTTATCCAGAATCTGAGTGAATCCTACTACCTCTACATTATTCACCCTAGTCCAGGCCACTTTCATCTTGATGATTGAAATAGCCTCCTACCCAGTCTGTCTGTCTCAGGGCTTTCTGCTTGCTAGGCAAGTGCTCTCCCACTTGAGCCACATCTCCAGCTTTCTGTTTCTCTCTTGTAGCCACTTGCCCTTCTCTATACATTTGTCCTTTTCTAAAATTTCAAGCAGAGTGAACCTTTAAAAACAGGAGTCAGATACTGGGTGTGGTGATATATGTCTATAATCTTAGCACCCAGGAGATGGAGGCAGGAGGGCTGCAAGTTCAAGGCCAATATGGGCTATTTAGCGAGACCCTTTCTCAAACAAACAAAAAAGACCAAATTAACAGGTGTCAAATTGTGTCTCTTTTTCCAAAACCTTCTAATGGCTTCCCAACTCATGCTATAAAAATCAAAATCCTTATAGTGACCAGTCAGACTCTATAGCAGTGCTGTCCAGTGGAAAAATAATGCGGCATGCACACAAGTTAAATTTCTTCTAACAGCAATATTATCAAAAGTTAAAAACACATAAAATTAATTCATTGTTATTTAAACCATGTCAGAATATTATTTCTCAACATGTCATATGTGTAAGAAGTTATTAATGAAATTAGTTTATTTTTAAATCATCTTCAAAATCTAGTATGTATTTATAAAGTTTGGATGCTGAAGTTTGGAAATACCTGATTCAGATTTATTTAGTTTTCATAAAATTTACAGTTGAAAAAATAGACTGTCATACCCAAGTAACTTTGAACATTGTTAAAATTTTCTAATAACTGAACTCCTCTTAGCTTTTAAATTTTTAATTAAAGTTTAAAAAATTGACAAAATTCAGTTTCTAGGCACATTTCAGATGCTAAGACAGCCATGTGAGGCTAGTGGCTGTCACACTGGACCAGGCAGGTTTTTTTTCTTTTTTTTTTTAACCAACCCTCCCTTGTTGTTTGAGCTTACCTCCTGTGCTTCCTCCTTTGCTCATTCTGCTCTAGCTGTAATGGCCTCCTGTTCTTTCATTATGGCAGACATTCACATTTCCAAGCCTTTGCATTTGTTCTCTGCCTGTAAAGCTGTGCCCCCAGATAGCTGCATGCTGTGCCCTTCATCTTCTGTTGATCTTTGCTCAAATGTCACTTTACAGCTGCTTTCCTTGTTCAGTCTATTTACTGTCTCAACCAGTTGTCTTCTGTCCCTATCTCTTACATTTTCAAGCTGCCTTCTGAAAGAAAAGACAACTATGGGGAGAAGTGACTTGATCTAAGAAGGAAATCAATAAAATACAAGAATTAGAATTGTCCCATACAGATTTACAAATGAGTGACTGTTAGGCAAAAACACAGAATAAAGTAAGGTTGAATAAGTGGCCATATCTTCTGAGCTTGCTTTCTTGCTACCTAGGAGACTTAGGGAATCCTTTCCCCCGCCCCCGCTTTTTTTTTTTTTTTTAGTGTACACGATTGGTTTCTTACATATTATAAGTTTAAATGCAAGGTTCTGCCTTAAATGTCCTCTTGCATCTTCTTGGGCACTTAGCATAGAACCTTGGACAAAATGCCAGCTGGAATCTCCAATGATGGGCCTGCCACCTGTTGCTTAGCCTTTCGTATTTTACATTCTGCAGTTGCTGCTCTATCCTCCGTTCTTTTTCAGTGACAGAACTGAAGTACTTGCTGATGGCTTGTGTTGGCTTTACATGCCCTGTGGTTGTGATTGTAACACTGACTTGTTCTTTCCTTGTCCATTCTGGTCATTTGCTTTCTCCAATACGTTCAGCTTATTTTTATTTCTATTTTTCTGGCAGTATTGGGGTTTGAACTCAGGGCTTCATACTTACTAGGTAGGTTCTCTACCACTTGAGCCATTCTGCCAACCCTTTTTTTTGTTAGGTATTTTTGAGATAGAATTGCATGAACTATTTTCCCGGACTGGTTTGAACCACAATCCTCCTGATCTCAGCCTCCTGGGTAGCTAGGATTATAAGTGTGAACCATCAGCACCTGGTTTCTCCCAGTTTATTAGCTCCTCCTCTCCCACTACTGCCTTTGGGAACACAAAAACGTGAACACTGTTATAGAATGTGAATTCTTGAGGGCAGGGACTATGCCTTACTCAGTTTTTCATCTTTAATGCTTTCCTCACTGCCTTGCTATAGGCATTTGGTATTTGTATTGAATGAACCAGACACAGAACAGCAAAGAGTTGCTATTATGGAGGGAAATTTATGTTGTTTAAGATACGTGTCTTAAACCCAAAACAGTATCTTTTTTTTTGTCTGTTTTGACCATATTGCGAGGCAAGAGAATGTAGAGCTGTGTGGGAAGCAAAAAGGGGACAATAAAACCAAAGTTCTGTCTATAAGTAAAGGGGCTAAGGGTTTTAAATGCCCAGAGCGTACTGTTCAAAAGCAAGGAAAAGCCTGGTGCTGGTGGCTCACACCTGTAATCCTAGTTACTCAGGAGGCAGAGATCAGGAGGATTACAGTTCAAAGCCAGCCCAAGCAAATAATTCATGAGAATGTATCTCAAAAATACCCATGAGAAAAATGGGCTGGCAAAATGGTTCAAGTGGTAGAGCTCCTGCTTGGCAAGCCTGAGGCCCTTTATTCAAACCCCACTATCACTTAAAAAAAAAAAAAAAAAAAAGAAAGGAAAAAAAGTGAGGAAAACAAATGTACTTAAGTACAACACTCTCCCATTTGTGTCACAAAAGTGCTTTTTTCAGTTTTACTCTAGCTTTTGTTTTACTCCTGATCTATTGCTCTATGATATATTTGTACAGTTTTTTTTTGTGGCCTTATTTAATGTTTGATGATCTGACATCTGGGTGAAGATCATAAGAAGCTTTATTTGTAAACCAAGGAATTGGGACAGATAATTATTTAAGAGTCTCTGGAACTCCGATTCTGTCATTTTGAGGAACAAACCCAATTGGAAGGTGCTTTAATGGAACCACGGTGGGCATAATAATTTTTGTCGCTATTGCATGTTTGCTTCACTGTTCAGTTTTTATAAATGGAGTTCATTTAAAGCAGTAAAATATTTGAGTTGCCACTGAGCATATTTTGGTAGCAAGCTCAGAGTATGAAAGCATGCATTGATTTTGATTACCTTTCTTATCTGAAAACTAGAGTTTGTGCAGTTTTCTAGAGATATTTTGGTGACTTAGAAGTTTAAATTGGTGCTGCATCCTGGCAATTAGCTCTTTCACTGATTCTGAATTCTGAGTAAACTGGAAAAGTTGTTTCCTCCCCATAATAAGTTATTGCTGAGCTGGAGATGTGGCTCAAGTGGTAGGGTGCCTGCTAGCAAGTGTGAAGCCCTGATTCAAATGCCAGTACCACCCCCACACACACACAAAAATTGTTAGTGGGGGGCAGTATGCAAACATATAAAGGAGACAAAGTTCTTTTCCTCTGGGGTCTTTCTTCCCCAACTTCATATTTATCATGTTGTCATAAGCTTTTGTGAAAATGATTCAACAAAGTATTTACAGAAATATACTTAGTATTTTTCCCTTTAATTCTAACCTTTAAACGTACAAAAGTTACGTGCTTTGTAACCATGCTGATTTCCCAAACTCTTCTGCCAGTTTCAGTTCCAAAATTTGTAGCATTTTTTATTTTGGTACCTGAGAGAGAAAAATCACCTGCCTAAGTATTCCATATAGTGAGGAGGCAAATAATAAGTATTTAATAGGAATCCTAATGTGTCTTCCTTAAGGTAGATCATGTAGCTATTTGATGTTATAGGTGATGCTGTGAATTTGTGATATGCATGGCTTCAGATGTCATAATTTTTCCCCTACTTTCTAGGAAGTAACAGCTAGCAGTCGCCACTATGTTGACAGGCTATTTGACCCTGATCCCCAGAAAGTTCTACAAGGTGTCATGTAAGTAGTATGTATTTAAGAGTCTATCAAAAAGTCTTGTTTTATGTTTTAATCTGCCAAATGCAAATATTACAATTCTAAAAAAAATGCAGAATTACAACTTTTTTCCTTCCATTTGGCTTCTTTTTGGAAAGACTGCTCGACATTCATGACATTTAATATTTTGCTATAAAGACTTACCTGTTGAGTAATTATTAGCTGACGTGATTAGCTTGTTTTTTGTAGAATACTCATTTTACATTTTAAAAATATTTCCTTAGGAGTAGACTTTTGCTATTTTAATATCCACAAAAAGCAAGAGAATCAAATTGGTCTTGTATAGTTGGAAAGCACAGGAAAGTAGGTTAGTAGGGTTTTGGGGGCTTAATTTTTTGGTTAGCTCTAGTTGTTACTGAGTCCTAGTGATGTTTTGAACCTCAGAATTTAGAAGGCAGTCACAAAAAAATTAAAATAATCTTTTAATTTTTTACATGTCCCTTTCTCCAAAATTCCCTCATGTTTAATGAGAGGAAACATTTTTGAGCTACATACTGGAGGTAATTATGCTTTAAAAAAATTAAATTGTACAAATGGGTTAAGATTTCAAGTGACTGAAAGTTGAATGCTACTCCTTTTGAGGTTCAATGCCTCATACTCCTAACACATTAGTTCTAAAGAAGATGGTCTAACCTAAGTCTCCTCATTGGGAAACACATAGGACCCTCAGGTTTGAACTGTGTTCAGGGGATGAAGGACACAAAAATGGGTAAAGGGAAGATCCATTTGTATTAGCAGTAAGGGCACAAATAACTGAATCCTTTTCTTCTTCTCTTACACTGTTAATGTCAGCCAAACCGTACTTTAAGTTTACTCTTACTCAGCCATGGTAAGGCCAGGATACTTTGTTTATGGACCTTTCTTGACTTATTCAAAAACCCTGCCCTATCCCCAAAAGGAAGTGTAGAGAGATATCTTGGCCATGTGAATTTGGAAAGAGGAAAAATGAAAAGTATGTATGGCCGTTCAGACTGATTTGGAACGGGAGTGAGAAGCTGGTTGGGACCCACCTGGGATGTTTAACACTTTCTCTTTGCCCTTCTCACTTTACAGAGACAGGGGGAGATGATATTTCTTATTTTCTTTTTCTTTGTTTTTGTCTTTGTCCCTTTAACTGGGAGACTTTATGATGATTTAATCAACTCTTTTTAAGACTAGCTTGACTATTACCAGGAAATGTGGTATGAAATCCTTCCATTAAGTAAATCAGTTTGGGTTGTGCCTACCCACACAAACTAGTGGATAGGTTAGGTTTAAATAACACTCCTCTTTAGATAGTCAAATATTCCTTTCACACAGCTAGACATCTCTGTATATAGAGCATCCTAAATACATGTTAGGATTCTTCAGTCATTTAGTTAAAATGTCATATTCATGAAGTGTTCAATAAATAGTATTAGACAATTATGGTGTATTTTTATTACTACTAGTTGTTTAGGAGAAAGCTAGATTTATTAATCACAGATTTTACCTGATGAACTTGTGTCTTGAGTTGTATCAATATGAGTAGCTAAGCCAAGAGTTACTTACTATTTTGAGAAATTTTTAATTCACCAAAGAATACTGTAACTTTCTAAAGTTAAGAGATAAAAGGACCTTGAGGAAGATTAAATTATCACAAAGTAGCTAAGGTATATTAATGCCTCTTGAAAAATTATTAAGTCTTAAACACAATTAACTTTTTGCTAGACAAAGTTTTTATGTAAAGGGAAGGTGGAATAGAAACAGCATGGGCTTTGGAGTTGGACACCAGTAGGCTGAATCCTTGTAACATTCCCCAGTGGGTTCCTTTCTTAACTGTATGCTCAGGCAAGGTATTTAATTTCCTTAAGCCTTCATTTCATCATCTGAAAAGTGAGAATAATTGCATCCTGCTAGGTGCTTGTTAGAATTAAGTCAGAAATAGAAGACTCGGTGCCTGGTTGTATTATGGATAACCACTAGTTAGCACTTAGGTGGTTAGGTGTTATTAGCTCCAATTTAAAAATAACTTAAAAAAATATGATTCTTTTCAGAAAACAAAAGGAAAAATTCAAGTGAAAAAAATCAGACATAAGGCAATTTGAACTGAAAAGAGAGGGACTAGAATTCTTCAGTTAAGATAATGCAAATGGTAACACATTCTAGTAAATGTAGTTGCTACTTACAATACTAAAATCTGTTTATAGTTTGAAAGGAACACTTCATGTCAGAGTAGAGCTGGTCTGATGGAGGTGTATATATAGTATGATTTATGTAAAGCTCTTCTTCATATACAAACACTCTTGACTTTTTTCTTTTTTTTTTACACTTACAAAGCAGGCGCTCTACTGCTTGAGCTGCACTTTCAGTCCCATTTTGCTCTGGAGATGGCATCTTGTGAACTGCTTTCCTAGACTGACCTCGAACTGTGATCTTCCTGATCTTTGCCTCCCAAGTAGCAAGGATAACAGGCGTGAGCCACCGGCTCCTGGCTGTTTCTGACTTCTTAATTCTTTTGGTGTGTCACTGTCTGAAAGTTAATTGTAGAATGAGAAGTGAATTGTATTTTGAACGTTTCATTTATTTTAGTAAATTTATTCAGTTCAATATTGATACAGGAAAAAGGGAACCAGAATGGTATTTAGGAAAAAGAGAATTGACTAATTCTCTCCTTTTTTTTATACACATTATACAACCATTGAGTCACATACAGGCTTACTAGACCAGAATGGGTAGGTAAATGGGAGATGTCCACTGAGTATAATCAACAAAGGTAGCCTGCTAATTTTAGGAAAGGAAGACAGAGGCAGAAGTGATCAGCTTTAAATCTAAAATACCCATTGAAGGGACAGAAAACAATTGACAAGTAAACAGTTTTATTTTTCTAACTATACTAAAGTTGACTTTTCTCAGTAAAGATTGTGAAGTCATGTAACATTCTAGCCATACAACAAAATCGAAGAATCAAAGGTGAGTAATAAATTTTCATCTATAACTAATTTACTCAGCTGCGTTAGTGCTGAAGACCTAATGAAACTGTAGGAACGTCTTTGTAGATAATGCACACCACAAAGGACCATTTTACCTCGTCAGTGGGTATAACCTTCTTGAAAAATAATGTAAAGCATCAAAACTGCTTAATGTTTAGTTGTTGATGAATAGTTATCTAAAGGTAACTTTTCTCTTGGTACTACAATATTCAGCATAATCTTGAATGATTGTAATGTACTAAATGCCTGAGTACAAAATCAGGTCTTTTAGAAGACCATTAGGTATGGAGCAAGATACAAGCAGAGAGAGAAGAGGGAGGTCACTTGTGTGGCCTCTGCAACTACAAAAGATGGTAGGTATATCAGATAAGGTACCTGGTATTGCAAATGCTGAGCTTTCTGTGGTGTGGAGATCTGTGTGGAACTTCCAAAGCAATTGCAGGACTTTTTTTTGGTGAGGTTATTGTGATACTGGTTGAAGCATGTTAAATCTCATAGTTAAAGAGTAACTACTAAAATGTTTTTTGTTAAACGTGTTAAAGCTACTTAAATGTATTTAAAATCTTGTCTAAACTCGAGTTCTTGATTTGATGTTTTTAGATTCACTATTCTTAATGAAAAGTTCAGTAGATATTCCCACATATTCCCAATTCAGTAGATATTACCAAAGTAGGTCAATGGCCCTACATTGACCCCTGTATATTGAAAAGCAAATGTGGCTATCTTTGTTGTTTCAAAGTTGAATAAAATCACAGGTAGACTAGCCCTTCCTGGTTAACTCACAAGCAGTTGTGAATGCTGAAGAATTGTGATTTTCACCAAAAATCTCTTTCTGAAGTATTTTAATGTACTGAATAAATGGGTTTGTTTTTGTAATGATTATTTAGTTTTCTGATTCCAGAAAATGACATGCCTTTGGTTTCAGTAGAATATAGACAGGTTCTGTTTTTGTGCTGAGCTAAAAATGAGTTCTCCTAAAACAAAACATGTGGTTTTTGAGAACTTTTAAGTTAAAGGGTTAAGTTTTAGGATAATACTAAATATCCTTAACAAAAAAAATTTTTAATTTCTTCTAATAAATATATACAAAGGAAACTTTAACAACAAATGTAACGGAGTAATCTTGAACCTTACTTGTGTAAAACTACGTGTTTTAAAACAGAATTTAGTCAGCGAATTATGGATAAATGGTCGGCAAGATTATCCAGAATTTATCAGATCCCATTGACATAGTCTTTGCTTGTATACAAATGAGTTTTTTATGTGTATGTGTGATGCTGACTTTCAACACCAAGAGCACACAGATGTGTATGTACCTTTTCATATATGTCGACCACCTATTTGCTGCCAATAAGTCCATAATGTCCTAACATTTTTTGATGTTCACTGGAATTATTAGCGATATTTAAAATACGCTATAGACATATTTGGGCATTTTTTAATTGCATTTCTCACTTTTGGAAAATGTAAGGTAATTTGTAATCATCTATTGCTAAAACAAAGACTTAAATATCCTGATTTCTGAACCAGTAATTTGATTTTCAAAGTTGTCTTTTTTTTTTTTGTGGTACTGGAATTTGAACTCAGATCCTCAGATGCTATAGTGAACAGATTTAACATTTACAGCAATTTTTTAATGATTTTTATATGAATCAGAACTGTAATTAAAATTATATATATTCCAAATATCTATGTCACAGAATAATTTATTTTTTATTTTTTAGAATAATTTATAAGATTGAACTAAATTACTGTCAGTTCTCAGGTCTTTTTAATTTATGCATATAATTATACAATGAATGTCTAAATTGACTAGGACTGAGTTTTCTATAAAAAATATGCTTCCTTGGGCTGGGACTGTAGCTCAGTGGTAGAGTACTTGCCATCGTTAGCACTGAAAAAAAAAAGTTTGACTCCTGATTCAAAACTTCATGTTAAAAATCGCTACTTTGAGTAATATATCATCATCATCTAATTCTTTTTAAATTGGCAATTTACATGCGATCAATTGTT